CCGACACGCGCCTCATGAGGGTCTCCTACTACGTGGACGAGACGGGCTTCCACCCCACCTACACCTTCGAGGGCACGGCCGTGTACCCTCAGCCCCAGCCCTACTCCGGGGGCCAGGCCGCCCTCCCGACCCCGAGCCAGCTCTACGGCACGCCCGGCCGGAAGTAGGCGCCGGGAAGGGACGAGCACCCAGCGGTAGGACGTGGCTCCTTCGGCTCCTTCGATCAAGGGGAGTCCTGTCTGAGCCATCTCCTGTTTTTTTTCTTTTTTTTCTTGTTATTCTTTTTTTTCTCTCTTTCACCCAGTTTTTGCACGATAACTATAAAGACATGCGGCAAAAACGGTTGCTCGTAGAGATAATAGCTGGTATTTCCATTTTTCTTTTTTCTTTTGTTGTTTGTTGATAGAGTTATGTGGCACTGGATATCACCAAGGACGAGGTACCGAGTGCCACGTGTCAAGTGCCATAGCTGTTCATTCTCGTTGTTAGATTTTGCTTGTTGTTCGCCTGACATTGTTTCTGTTAAACTAGTCACTCATAACCCATGTTTATTTTCTTACATTTTTGTTACCGTTTTGTTTACCGTATCATATGATACTCCATATTTCAAAGTTTATGCTATTTTTCTATGCTAATAAATACAGTATACGTTATATTTGTTCTATTTTCCCTTCAGCACTTTATCACACCCCTGTAGTTTCTAATAAATCCAGAAATTAAAAAGAAAGGTAGAATTGTCGGAACTTGTTGCAAATAAAACATGCAACTGAAGACGTGTCCGTGTTGTGGATAAACTCCCTTTCGCCTCGTCTTCCAAAATAGAAATAAATCGACACAAAATGGAGGAAAGCGGCAACCAGACCTAAAGAAACGGAAGAGAAAGCAAGAAAAGTAAAAACAAAACAAGACGAAAGAGGACGTGGGAGAAAAACGAATTCAGGTAAAAAGGAAAGCGGAAACCAGACCTAAAGAAACGGAAGAGAAAGCAAGAAAAAGAAGAACAAAACAAAACGAAAGAGGACGTGGGGGGAAAAAACGAATTCAGCCAAGCCGGCCGGGGGGGGGGGGGAGGCGCGCCCATCAATTCAGAAAGCCGTCGAACCCAAATTCATATATGCATTCACAATTCATGCAATATGCAAGCACCCAGACCCTCGGCGAGTGTTCCCTTTCCGGCGCCAGTGCAACTTTGCTGATTGCTCCATTTACATAGTGAGAACCGGAATCTGCAAACTTTCCGCCTTAATTTCTGCAATGATCTCGGCCTGGTGACTAATTCGAAGGCGGGATCCATCACTTGTTTTTTTGCATAAATTAATCATATTGCGAAAAAAAGAGGAATAGATGAAAGACGGTGATATTGGATCTGCGGGACTTTTCTGATGGCAGAGAGGGTTGCCATATTTATTCATTTTCGCACGTCGATCTGTGTTTATGGGGAAATCGATAAAAAGAAGGATTCTTATAAACATTCATAGGAAACTGGCAACATTTTTGGAGTGGAAATAGGTAAAAAGAAGGATTCTTATAAACATTTATAGGAAACTAGCAACATTTTTGGAGTGGAAATAGATAAGAAGAAGGATTCTTATAAACATTCATAGGAAACTGGCAACATTTTTGGAGTGGAAATAGATAAGAAGAAGGATTCTTATAAACATTCATAGGAAACTAGCAACATTTTTGGAGTGGAAATAGATAAAAAGAAGGATCTTATAAACATTCATAGGAAACTAGCAACATTTTTGGAGTGGAAATAGATAAAAAGAAGGATTCTTATAAACATTTATAGGAAACTGGCAACATTTTTGGAGTGGAAATAGATAAAAAGAAGGATTCTTATAAACATTTATAGGAAACTAGCAACATTTTTGGAGTGGAAATAGATGAAAAGAAGGATTCTTTTAAACATTCATAGGAAACTGGCAACATTTTTGGAGTGGAAATAGATAAAAAGAAGGATTCTTATAAACATTCATAGGAAACTGGCAACATTTTTGGAGTGGAAATAGATAAAAAGAAGGATTCTTATAAACATTTATAGGAAACTAGCAACATTTTTGGAGTGGAAATAGATGAAAAGAAGGATTCTTATAAACATTCATAGGAAACTGGCAACATTTTTGGAGTGGAAATAGATAAAAAGAAGGATTCTTATAAACATTCATAGGAAACTAGCAACATTTTTGGAGTGGAAATAGATAAAAGAAGGATTCTTATAAACATTCATAGGAAACTAGCAACATTTTTGGAGTGGAAATAGATAAAAAGAAGGATTCTTATAAACATTCATAGGAAACTGGCAACATTTTTGGAGTGGAAATAGATAAAAGAAGGATTCTTATAAACATTCATAGGAAACTAGCAACATTTTTGGAGTGGAAATAGATAAAAAAGAAGGATTCTTATAAACATTCATAGGAAACTAGCAACATTTTTGGAGTGGAAATCGATAAAAGAAGGATTCTTTTAAACATTCATAGGAAACTAGCAACATTTT